GAGGTCAGTAGTTAAATGGTCAGACTAACATCTTACAAGGCCCCCAAAGGAATCTATTACTACTAATGGTGAAGATGGTTTTGGCCCCTGGTCTGTAGGGTGCAGGACTCATGGAGAGGGGGCGGGGCATTAACAACAAACGTTGGGCTGAGCTGTTGCCTTGCACTGGTAGAGCCGATGGACTCGCCTTCCGAGGTTTTGTCTTAGTAGAAGGACCTATAAAGTGACTGAGATCTGACTGCGGGGCAAGTTTTACAGGGGCCGAAAAGGTGGAAAAGGACAAGGAGTGTAAATAGGAGGTCAGCCCCTCCCCCATTCCTTTTATTATGGGAGTTTCCTGGGAACACGTGATGGGGATTGGAAGACAAATGTTGGATTTTCTGCTACATGGCCTCAAATCTTCCCAGCTGAGCCGTGAGATCTCAGTCACCCTTCTCCTAGAGGTGTCCACCATGCTGGCCCACTGGTTGCAGTGTCCATGGGCCCAGAGTCTCCCGTGGTGATCACCCTACTTACCAAAAATTGGGGATCGCTGCTTGTCCTCCTGGAGGACCTGACTCCCCCGATGGGAACACACGATCGGGATTGGAAGACAAATGTTTAATTTTTATGCTACATGGCCTCAAATCTTCCCAGCTGAGCCGTGAGATCTCAGTCACCCTTCTCCTAGAGGTGTCCACCATGCTGGCCCACTGGTTGCAGTGTCCATGGACCCAGAGTCTACATTGCGGGTGATTCCACTTTCCCATAATATAGGGATCGCTGCTACTCTTCCTGGAGGATCCGACTCCCCCGATGTTCAGAAACGTCAACCGAAACAGGTCCCACACCTCACCATTGTGTTCTGGAGTCATCAGAAGAAGGAGGAGGAGCTTTGTGGCCTTCAAAGTTGCAGCAAATGGCCAACTAGCAAACCCAACATACAAGTGATGACTTAGTCCTCCCGAAATCTGAAGACGTCCATCGTAGCCATTGGCCTCGGAGTCTGATGATGAGAACCAGGCAGAGTAACACATGGAAGGGATGGAAAGTGAATAAGGGAGGTTGAGCATGACTCTACTGCGGGTCCATTCATGAACTGGATCTCTTTCTCCCCAAACACGAGGATCAGTCTTCATGTAAGCCAATTGATTCCGACCATATCCTGGAACCTTCATGTCTGGCCTAGTCACCGCAGTGCTCAGTCTTTCCCCCCGGGTGGGATTATGGACATAAGAAGGGCGGGTCCTGATAACCGACTCACAAACTATCTTCTGTTCCCACCACAAAGACATGACACCAGGAAGTATCAGTGATGATGATGATTGTATTATTCTCCTCCTTGCTCCTACCTTTTCTCAGATGTTTCCAGACAGGAGTCATCGTTGTCCTATGTTTGGACCCGTTCACTAAACTCGATTATTGGTTTGAAATCTCAGATTCGTGTCCTTGTGATCCGCTGTTCACCATTGGCCAATAAAATTGTCCCCCCACCCCCGTAGTTCTATGTTCTCCCTACTTTCCTCGGCGGTTGTTTTCTGGTCTCCTCTTCGAGGACTATGAGCTGTTCTCCGTCTCCTCCCTATGTACATGACTGGAGCGGATCGTATTATGGTCATGTGACCTCTCTGGATGTCCATTGTTGCAAGATCTGTCCGGTATTGGATGGAACTTCTCAACAACCTCCGAGGTGTCCTTCTGATAGACTGTGTGCCGACACCACCGAGATTGGGAGGTGTGGAGATCTCATCTCACCTTCATACATTTACATGTTCTCCTCATCCAGGTCCTACCTTCATTGCTGAGACTGAGGAGGCGGAACACCCCGGGCACGTCTATGTCTCCATATGAAAAGAGATCACAATCTGCAGACCCTCATAGTATGAGCACTTATTACATACCAGATCCAGGTCCGATGTCTATTCCTCTGAGGAGGTAGAAGGTGTCTTCTGGATGGGGTGTGTTTGGTGTCTCATGGATCGGTATTCTCTTATACATCAGTGTAGTCACTTTTCAGGAAGGCAACTCCAATACTGCCGGAGATATAGAATATGGATGGAAGCTGAGAGTGTGAGACGTATGAATGTCTAGGTCACTTGAAGGAGTCTATGGGGGTCACTTGGAGGGGTCTATGGAGGTTATTTGGAGGGGTCTATGGGGGTCACTTGGAGGAGTCTATGGAGGTCACTTGGAGGGGTCTATGGGGGTCACTTGGAGGGGTATATGGGGGTCACTTGGAGGGGTATATGGGGGTCACTTGGAGGAGTCTATGGAGGTCACTTGGAGGAGTCTATGGAGGTCACTTGGAGGGGTATATGGGGGTCACTTGAAGGAGTCTATGGAGGTCACTTGGAAGGGGTCTATGGAGGTCACTTGGAGGGGTCTATGGAGGTCAGGGCACTTGGAGGGGGTTTAGGGGGGTCCTTGGAGGGGGTCTATGGGGGTCACTTGAAGGAGTCTATGGAGGTCACTTGGAGGGGTCTATGGAGGTCACTTGGAGGGGGTCTATGGGGGTCACTTGAAGGAGTCTATGGAAGTCACTTGGAGGGGTCTATGGAGGTCACTTGGAGGGGTCTATGGAGGTCACTTGAAGGAGTCTATGGAGGTCACTTGGAGGGGTCTATGGAGGTCACTTGGAGGGGTCTATGGAGGTCACTTGAAGGAGTCTATGGAGGTCACTTGGAGAGGTCTATGGAGGTCACTTGGAGGGGTCTATGGGGGTCACTTGAAGGAGTCTATGGAGGTCACTTGGAGGAGTCTATGGGGGTCACCTAAAGGTTCTTGAAGAAACCAAACTGTTGAAAAGATTTGTTGTCCAGTGTAACTGGAGCATACCACAGACCCTCCTCCCCCCACCCCTGAGATTTAAGAGAAGCGGTGAGTCGCCTCCTTTTAACAAGTACAAATAAAACTACTAAGACGCAAGTTTAAGACTAAAACTACAACCTCCAGTATGAGCCGAACTTGTAGATTTCTAAACAATTATCTAAAAATCCAAATCTGAAAACCACTTTTATCAAACAACATACAAAGAATAACATAAGACTAGAAATATATATATATATACATATAGAAGGCATTTCCCGCACGCCAGACACTAATACGCCTCCAGGGCTGTGTGGGTTCTCTGATGTTCGGTAAGACGAGACTTCTGTGAGAACCATTTCCCACACTCAGTGCAAAGATATGGCTTCTTCCCCATGTGAGATATCAGATGTCTGGAAACATGAGACTTCCGTGAAAAACATTTCCTGCATTCAGGACAGGAAAAGGGCTTCTCCCCCGTGTGAGATCTCAGATGTTTGGTAAGACTGGACTTATCTGAGAAACATTTCCCACATTCGGTGCAGCAATACGGCCTCTCCCCTGAGTGACATCTTCCATGTTTAACAAGGTCTGCCTTCGAGTAAAAACATTTCTTGCACTCGGGACAGGAATACGGCTTCTGGCCTGTGTGAGTTCGGTAATGTCTGTCGAGTTTTGATTTAAAAGGAAAACATTTTCCACACGCAGGGCAGGAATGGGGTTTCCTACCCATGTGAGACCTCTGATGTTCAGAAAGACTTATTTCAAATCTAAAACTTTCCCCGCACTCCGGACAGGAAAATGTCTTCTCCCCCTGAATTCCGGCACCATCCCCCATAGTACGAGGTTCCTCAGAGTCAGAGGGAGTCCATGGTCTACCCACACTGTGACGTCCACCATCCATAGCTGAGCTCATTGTCTCTTCTCCCGCACAATCTGCTGTGATGTCCTCATCTTCCATCTTACAACCTGGAGATAAAGTCAGAGGATCCTTTGAGGGTTCCTCCATGGCGTGTCCTGGAAACATAGAAACACATGATGGAGAGATATGAGAGGGTTAGATGACTTCACTCAACATTCCATCTGGATCAGGAGGTCTGAAGGAGCGGATGTTCTATGAGGAGGTCCCAACCAGCTGGATCGTTATCAATACAGGGAGGTCACGCCCTCCTCTGGACCAATCAGTGTGCAGAAAAAGAGCAGAGAGCAGAGATAACAGAAGAATATATTGTGGGTCACCTGTGCTGGTCTCTGTAGGCGTGTCCTCCTCTATGGATGTCCTCATCATCCCGGCCTCCTCCGTATATCGCTGATCATCCCTCACATACGTCTCTTCTACTTCACCCTCAACTTTCATCTTCATCAGATCTTCACCCTAAACCAACAGAACGGCAGAAAGTCTCATCTGTGACATAGAAGTATTTATGATGTGACATCACATAGAAGATCTCATCTTGTAGAGTCCACACGTCATCTCCACATGTCAGAGCGTTCCATCACTTTATGTTCCCGCCCCCCAACTCCACCCACCTGATCATGGTGGGGGACGGTGAGATCTTCCTGGGTGGGATCCCGGGAATACAGAGGAAGGGGACATCTCTCTGGTGGGTTCCT